GTGCGGGCGAGACGTCGGAGGAGGAAAGGGTACTCCAGATCTCGTAATAAAAGGGAGGGGGTCTGGACTCTCCAAGACAAGCCATTTCAGACCTCCCCCGTGGGAGAACCCTCCAAAACATCGTCCACAGACCCCCCCAGGCCCTCCAAGATAGCCTGGAAGAGACCCCCCCCGAAACGAGACCCCCCTCCCTTTATTACGAAATCTGGAGTACCCATACCTCTACCCCCGCGCCCGTTGTCCCCTTTTTCTCTGCACGAACGGAATGGGTACGGAAAGAATGGGTACGATGCCCAACAGCAGTTCCTGTTCATTTTGAAGAGGACTCGCTGTCGGTGTCGCCGCGGCCTGTGTACATTTGAGACAGAAGGCCGCCTGCCCAACATCGGCCGCTGTTGTTTTGGGACAACATTTGATGTTGGGCATTGTGCCCATTTTTTGTGTACCCATTTCGGGCGTCCAAATCGCATAGTTCTCACCTCCTCTCGGGCGCGGGCAAGATGTCGGAGGAGGAAAAGGTACCCATACCTCTGCCCCCTCGCCCGTTTTCCCTCTTTTTCGCTCTCCTGGGAGGTTCTCGTCGCTACCGCTGGATTCGCCTCGAAGTCCCGGTCGGAACGCGCCCAATCAGAGGTTTGGGGAGCAGCGGTATCGGTATCTCTTGATTTCCCCAAGATGTATCCAGCAGTGGCGAAGCGTCTTGGCTTTCCCAGAGACAGTTTTTTGGGGGGGTCCGGCGATAGCCCGGGTTCTCGGGCTTGCCCCCCCTCCCCCCCCGCCCCCTCCAGGATAACCGAACCTTGCCAGCTGTGCAGGTCCAGGGTTTGGGGGCGCGGGCAAATGCAGGGCTGCCCACAGCGCGAAGGCTCGGTTGTAGGCCACCAAAATATGTTCTACGAATCTTCTGTGGTCTGCACGACATATTCTCAGAACATTTCTGGCCGAGGGTGTCCTGTTTTAGCACATCGGGTGTATGTTCTGAGAACACTGTTTTGGTTCTTAGAACTTGCTTGGGGTTCTAAGACAATTTCATGGTAGGCCTAAAGGAATGCTGGGACGGTCGGTCCCTGCTCAAATGTATATCCATAGTCATTGCGCATTTGACATTTTGGCAGGGGGCGCCAGAAGGCTGGGGCGCAGTGGATACGGATACAGGGTCCAGCCCCCAGGGGCCAGATTTCTATCCATATCCACTGCGCCTCGGGTGTCTGGGGAAGGGAGCCGGAAACTCCTAGATGCAGTGGATATGATATACATCTTGTTCGCATTATGCATATTTAGGCTTCCCGAATGTGGTCCGAGTAGATGGGGCAGACGGATCGCTCCGCATCGCCGATGCATCGGCGATGCGGCTCGATGCGGAGCCAGATTTTCTCCATGCTGACGTCGCCGATGCATCGGCGATACATTGGCGATACATCGGCGATTGGGTACGGTCCTCCGACCCCAGCTACTCGGACCTCATCTAGGAGGCTTCTTTCCTCGCGACGGAAGCGGAAATTTATACATAGCCACCGCCTGTGTGATCGGCCATTCTGTGCGTTGGCAGGCGGCGGATACGGATATTGTATTCGGCCCTCCTGCAGGCAAAGCCATGTAGATCCTTGGGTGCTCACGCTACGAAGCAGCAGTGTCGGAGGAGAGGTTCCCCTGCCCCGCTCCTCCTGTTGTGGGGAGATTGGTGCGAACTGAACGCACCATTTTCCACATCTGGCGCGTATGTACTCTTGGCGACGGCCTGTCGGTGGCTGTCTTCGCAGGCCCCATCCCAGGCGGCCTCGTGCCGCCTCCGTAGCGGAGGCAACGTCAGGCGGCTGCATGAGGATGCGAACTCTCACGGTTTCAAAGCACCGGGGCCGTGGTCGGTGCGGCCGTCCAGGGGGCCAGGGGTGGTGTGCATCAGAGCGACCAAGCAGACCCTCCAGATGGCAGAAACGCGCATACACGTCTTTTGCGGTTGCGAAGCTGTGCTTGCCCTCAGCAGTTCTTCTCCTTGATGCTTCGCTTATCCCCACCAGCCCATCCAGTAGCGATGCCCGGATTTATGTGTGTATATGTATGTATGTATGTATGTATGTATGTATGTATGTATGTATGTATGTATGTATGTATGTATGTATGTATGTATGTATGTATGTATGTATATATATATATATATATATATCGGGGGCCTGCTTGGGCTAGGGGATTTTTTGATGCGTTCTCGGGAATGCGGCGGCAACGATTGTGGAAGTAAGCCGCGTAGGCTTTTTTTTCTGACCTTTCGCTCTGAGAGGCCTGGTGCCCTCCTGGAGTCATCTCGGTATATATATATAAATATGCACATACATATGATAGCATTCTCGACCATCTGGAACCCTCTTGGAGCCATCTTGCTGCCTTTCTGGGGGCCTGTTGGGGTTCTCTGTGCGGCCCTGGGGGACCTCTGGTGGCGATCTTGGGGGGGCTTGTTCGGGTCGTCTTGAAGGACGTCGGTCAAAGTTGGAAGCCATCTCAGGCTATCTAGTTCACTCTTGGGGCCTTCTTCGAGCCCTCTTGGGGGTCTCTTGGGGCCCTCTTCGGGGCCCTGAAGGCCCTCTTGGGGCCAACGTGGAGAACATCAGTCAAAGCGGGCGGAGTCCTTGATTAGGGTTGCCCATGTTGGGCCCCCAAAGTCGCCATCTTGGGGCCCTCTCGAGGCCCTCCTGGTACGCGCTTGGAGCTCTGTTGTAGCCCTCTGGGGCCCCTCTTGGGGTTCTGTTGGGTCATCTTGAAATCATCTTGGCACCTCGGGAGCCCATAAGAAGCGAAAGTGCGAGGATGCATTGATTTTTCACATGTTTGAAAGGGTTTGGGCCTCTGGGGGGGCGTCCTTGGGAGACTCCGTGGCCACTCGGAGACGTCTTGGAAGGCTTCTGGGACTTCCCAGGAGGCATCAGGAAGGCCATCTGGAACCATCCTGAGATATCTTGTGCCATCTTAGGGGCCATCTTGGGCTATCTCGAGCCCTCTTGGAGTCGTCCTGGGCCGTCTTGGACGCTCCAACGAGTCGCCAACCCCCCCGTCCAGAGTCGGGCGAGCCCCTACAGTTTCCGCTCGGGCACAGCACGGGGGCGTGCGGAGGATGCCCGCGCTCCAAGACGGTCCCAAGAGGCCCCCAAGAGGGTCCCACGAGGCCACCGAGAGGGTTCCAAGGCCGCTCCCTGGCGCCGAGAATGGCTTCAGGACGGCCTCAGAAATTCCCAAGAGAGCCCAAGATGGCTCCAAGAGGACCCTCAAGAGTGAGGGGTTTGTGCTCACGCGAATCCACTTCGAGTCGTGCGCGCGTTGGCTGCTTCGGGGCAGGCAAGCATCGTCGCGTGTACCTTCTTCTTCTTCTTCTTCTTCTTCTTCTTCTTCTTCTTCGTTGGCTTTCTGGCCCGGGGGGCCTCCTCCTCCTCCTCCTCCTCCTCCTCCTCCTCCTCCTCCTCCTCCTCCTCCTCCTCCTCCTCCTCCTCCTCCTCCTCCTCCTCCTCCTCCTCCTCCTCCCCCTGCTGGCGTGGACCCCCTCCAAGGTGTGGGGCCCTTGGGGGCTCCTGGGGCCCCACCGCGGGGTGCCCGCGGCGTCGCGGGGGCCCGTCCCCGCGGGGCCCACGGGTTGGCGCCGGCCGTGCGGGGGCCCGGGGGAGGGGACCCGTGGGCACCCCTGCGGGGGGCCAGCGGCGTCGTGGGGGCCCGTCGCCGCGGCGTCCGAGGGGGGCGTTGGTTGGTGCCTCGGCGGAATGGAGGAGGAGGAGGAGGAGGAGGGGAGGAGGAGGAGGAGGAGGAGGAGGAGGAGGAGGAGGAGGAGGAGGAGGAGGAGGAGGAGGAGGAGGAGGAGGAGGAGGAGGGAGGAGGAGGAGGGAGGAGGGGAGGAGGGGAGGGAGGAGGAGAGGAGGGAGGGGAGGAGGGAGGGAGAGGAGGGAGGGAGGGAGGGGGAGGGAGGGAGGGAGGGGGAGGAGGGAGGGAGGAGGGAGGGAGGGAGGGAGGAGGGAGGGAGGGAGGGAGGGGGGAGGAGGAGGAGGAGGAGGAGAGAGGAGGAGGAGGCGGAGGAGGAGGAGGAGGAGGAGGAGGAGGAGGAGGAGGAGGAGGAGGAGGGAGGAGGAGGAGGAGGAGGAGGAGGAGGAGGAGGAGGAGGAGGAGGAGGAGGGAGAGAGGGAGGAGGGGAGGGGAGGAGGAGGAGGAGGAGAGGGAGGAGGAGGAGGAGGAGGAGGAGGAGGAGGAGGAGGGAGGAGGAGGAGGAGGAGGAGGAGGAGGAGGAGGAGGAGAGGAGGAGGAGGAGGAGGAGGAGGATCAGGAGGAGGAGGAGGAGGAGGAGGAGGAGGTGTTCAAAAATCGGAGTGCGGGTGAAAAGTCGGCGCTTGCGGCGGGCTCCTCGCGGCCTGGCGCTGCATACAGCCAAGACGCTGAAATCAGGAACAGTTGGGATTCGGAAGGGGCTCGCTGCGGCGCTGGCGCGCCGGCGACGCCGGCAAAGGCGTTCAAGGTTGAACTCCGCGACGCGGAAGCACCGATGTACACGGTAACGCCATTCGACCCGACTAATTTCAACCTCGAACGCTCGGGGCCGCGATCGATTCAAGGTTGAACGATCGACGCGGAGTCGGAAACCTCTGCGCGCGCCAACGCCGCGTGAACCTGCCGCAGGTCCTCCCGTGCCTGTTTCCCCAGCGTTCCTTGTCCACGCAGGCGACTCTGGGGCCGAAGAAGGGGTGCTTGCTTGATTCTGCGTTCCTTGTATGGCATTCCGGAAAGAGGTTCGCCTTCGAGGACCGAAGGAGGGAGGAGGGAGGAGGGAGGAGGGACGAGGGAGGAGGGAGGAAGGGGGAGGGGGGAGTGGCAAGCTAGGTGCGCTCGCGTCATATCTGACATCCTACCCCTCCCTCCCATCCCTTACCATGGCGCAGATCCCCTCTCTACTCGCACAGTCGGATGTCGAGCAGGGCAATGATCCCGAAAGGGTACGCGATGCATTGTAGAGCACGGCATGGCATGGCGTAGAA